GTTCCTGCACTTTTGGCGATTATGAGTGAACAAAGCTCGAATTTGGGTCGTTCTCATTCACCGTATAGAGAGGGTCTAGTATAAGTAAGGAGAGGACTGGCTGGTTTTGAGCCAAACGAACTGTCGTAGCCAGAGCCTACCGGACAGCGCCTATCTTGATTGCATTGGCAGTGTTGCTAGAAATCACCTAAGCATAGGTTGCCAAGGCAGTATATTATCAATCCGCTCCTCTCTTATACTAGACACTCTCTAGTTAACACTTATTTAAATTTCGTACTTTTAAGTAAATTAATTCCAAAAATTGATTTTGCTCATCATTTTTAAAGTAATTTCAAATATTTTTTTTTCCTTAGTTCATTCGTTCTCAAGTGATATATTACCATAATTTTAGACTTTTATCGAATGTTAGTCGCGATGCTCAACTATAAGGTATATATATCATGATTACATATGAGTGGTTAGAAGGAAAGGGGTGTAAGTGACTTTGATCGATGCTCTTCATCGACTTTCTCTTTCGTTAATAATTCAGCTGCAAACACATTTCTTGATTCGTTTGCCATTCTGGATGCTAGAAGAGAACCTCCTTTATCAAACTATGTGGCAGAAATAGCGCAAAATCTGCTTATAAAGCTGTAATAATCAAAAAAAAAATCGATGAAGAGAATCGATCAAAGTCACTTACACCCCTTTCCTTCTAAGCCCCCGCATATTATATTACCCGGAGACGAACCAGCCCAGGGCTGAAAGTCTCCTTAATAAAGATATAAAAAAAAAAAAAAAAAATATTATATTACAATAAAATCATCCACGGAGACTGTCACAATCATCCATTTTTAGACTTACACGGCCGTCGGAGATCAACCCAATTTTGAGTTTAGTTTACTCATAAATCGTAAAAAGTGCAGGAACTCAGCGATGAGTAAATTTTCCAGGATTTTCCAGGATAGAATTCCCGAATATTTTATCATTGATTGGATTAGATTATCTTAGTCTTTTGGTACTACTCCTAGAATTAGACAAATTTTCGTGAATTTTCTTCATTTTCCCGCAGATTTTTTTGGTTTTCCACAGAAAATCATGAGGCAAATTTACTCTTCGCTGAGTTTCTGCACATTTTGCGATTATGAGTAAACTGAAGTTAATTTTGTCCAATATACCCAAGACGGGTTTCATATAAACTTAGCTAGTGGTTGACAGTACCCTCTCAGATTCCAAATTATACTAATTTAATAAGACCTTTCAAAAATTGGTCCTGTTTTTTTTTTCGAAAAACAAGTATGCATAGATGTTTAATAAGCCAAAGTCTTTACATCCAATTAGGGTCAATTGGAATTCGAGAGGGTTCTGCCAACCACTGGTCGAGTTGGTGTGAATTTCTTCTTAAGTATATTGGACAACATCAACTTGTTTTTCATCGGCTGAGTCTAAAACAGAACGGGTGATGTATCCGTGTTTGAGCCTGCTGGATATCATGACTTAAATTCAAAAAGGTCTAAAATAATGTTAATTTATAATTTCTTACATGTAAAATTCGCAATAACTTAAGAACAGATGAACTTAGGAAATATTTTTATAAAGAGACGATTTCATTAAAAATGATGCACAAAATCCATTACTGAAAATAATTTACTTAACAATATGTCCGAGATGAATTAGCCTATAACTAAAAATCTCGTTAGTAAAATTAAAAAAAAAAACTAAAACAACACGAAATTTTTATACGTTTTAATGTTTGGTAAAATAAAAAAATTATTTAAAAAATACTATTAAACATTTTACCATCTTACACTTTGTACAAAATTTGTGGCTTTCATTACAAAAAATCGAAAAGGGGGTCTTTGGAGAAAATTATCAATTTAATTATTAAACATTATTTTACAGTGAATGTTGATGTAGGACTATGTATGTGATTTCTATATGTGGGTACACTTTGTGAAAACCAAAAATGGAACATGTAACGAACTTATGAAAGATCTTGAACGTTAATAGCTCAGCTACCCCTGGACCAATTTCAATAATTTTATTACCAATCGATCAGAATTATTTCTGCGCATCTTCAAATCGTTCTTCACTTTTGAAAATTGCACGAATGTGCAACTGTTGCTATGATAGTTAAAATTATCACCGATTTCGAAAAGGGATTTCCCTAACACAGATTTCAAAGTTGAATTCCATCCGGTCCCTCCAAACGGTGTTAATTCAATCACCGCATGGTGAGTGACAGTGTTCTCCAGTACACAACGAAAGCTCTCCGCCAAGCAGCTAGCTATCAAAGCTGCCCCAACTGCCCAATTAAAAGGCATATCAAAAGGTTCTTTTCAGGGCAAACATAGTCATACTAAAAAGTATAAACAGAGAGAACCCCACTCAAATTTCTATTCCTACGCAAAACACAAGCTCCTACTGCAGTTAACAAATACCATTTATTATATAAGACCACGTAGTCTCACGTCACCATTGCGTACAACCCCATAGGGCTGTTCCTTATAATTTTTTTATCTCATCACACACCATACACCTTCAACTTCTTTCTCAGACTTCATTTTGATAAAATCTACCATTTTCAAGTTACGATTGTTTGAAATAATAAATCCCATTTTTTTTATATAAGCCCACAAAAATAATTTGTCCTCAAATATTTACATTTTTTATGGAAAATATCATCTTGGGTAGCAATTCACATATGTGTAAATTTTCGTTCAAATCTGACTGACTTTATTTTTGCCGTTTTGAACTGCGAATTCCAGGAATATCGATTAACCAGTCCTATTTGTTTCCTCATTTAATTTCAATAAGTATCTTATTGACTTAGTATCATTTTGTGCCTCAGTTTATTGTGTCCATATAGATCAATGCTTCTTTACTGCAAATTCTCACTAGCGTGCGTAGAATTAGTGTGAAACAACTCCAACACTCTATTTCTGCAAAGAAAAATTAATATATTCTGATAAAACGTATTTCATTTCAAAGAACTATAAGGAGGAGTTATCAATTTTTTTTAAATCCTTCCATGAAATTCAATAATGCGGGAATTAAAAGTTACTCTAACGTACATTACAATCAAGACGCTTTCAAATTCGTCGGAAGCTAGTATCCCTTATTTAACCTCTAATCATTACCATACAAGATTGAATGAGGCCTCATTTTTTGGAAGTCGAAAAGACATAATTTTTCTTACAAGCGTTCCTGAAAAAATGCTTCGTTTCGACATCCGCAATGAGGCCCCTGTAGTTCTAAGCATGAACCAACACACTCCATCTACTCAAGTGCACATTTAGTTGTCGTTGTTGTTAACTTTGTTCGTTCTGAGCAGTTTGTTATTTTTACGCTACATTTTCCGAGGAACATTAATGTGCATGATGATACAAGAGCACTACACAAAATCATTCCGCCTGTGCTTGATGTTTCATAGGGTATGGTGGGTTAATACTTGCCCCGCGATAACATGACCAACAGCATTTATTCTCGTACTATTCAAAGACTAATTGATATAAACAGTTTCCCAGATGATAGTTCAACAGCTCTTGTACTGGTTCTGGGTGAAAACACATTAAATTTGTGTTGCGCTGTTGGTCATATTACGCCACCTTACACTACTTTCACCCCGGATGTAAATATCTAGCTCTTCCGCTCCCATCTCGTACCCAAACTTACCGAGTGCAAGTTGAATAGTGTCAAAACAGAGTACATGCACTCATCACTGCGCACATCGCATATTTTGGACTGTCTACTAACCTCATACCTCGTGCAAAATCAAGAACTTCAGTTCTGTATAGTGGAGTTCCGGTGCATTTCCTCACTGTCTTATTCAATACACGGCCAATGAGGGTAACTCAAAACTGAGTCGAATTTGATTCAAAATTCCTTACTGCTCGGATATGAGGCAAATCGACCAACATTTTACTCAGTTTTACTCAGTCTATGAGTAAACTGTTAGACTACGTGAAACATCTCTCGATTTTCCTCATATTCAAGAAGTTTATCCTGGAAAATCGAGGAAAATTTTTACTCATTCGCTGAGTAACTCCGCTTTTCGCAATTATGAGCCAAAATCGACTCAATTTAGAGTTGCTCTCATTGGTCGTGTATTTCTCGTCGCTTGTATTGTCCGAATCAAACAACCGTGCAGAACTTGTGGGAGAACCACCTTTTCCATTTATCCCTCCAAGCAAGCGCGAGTGCTCATTAACCTGGAAATCCTGGCCCGTCGTACTTGACTGAGACTTACTGAAGCACCCGGTAGTAGTACCTACCTGCCGACCAGAATAGCTACTTTTCCCCGCAGAGTACGAATGGGACACAGCTTCATTCATTTTCATTTGCCGTTTTTTTTTTTCTATATGTATATAGAGTTGTTTTTATGATTTCGCTTTCTTATTTATTTTTTTCCTTTTACTGTGAGTATGTTGGCTCTTCAGTGTGCAGCATTCCATTTATATTTGTTCGACATTATCCTTGTTTAGCTAGTCACTATTGCATACATTTGGTTGTTGAGAAACGGTACTTACCGGCATGAATAGTGTGCTTCGTGCAGTGAAATTCGTTGTTGGCAATTGAAAAATTAGTCGTTGAAACTCTCACTCAATCGGTTGATTCAGCACAATACTCAACCACGGTTCGAGAACCTCATCGTACGTCTCATAACACGTTGCGTCACCATGAGAATTACATACTTACCAGAATGCCATAAAATTCCCCATGTTCTTCATTTTCTCGTTCTCTCATAATCCGTATAGCATCCCGAAAACGAAAATAGATGTTTTTTTCATCCAATGCTTCCCTCTGATTTGCGATTCATTTAGACTGTGAAATCGTGGTGTACATTCGTAGAAGTTCACGTCACTTCCCCCATTCTTCATGTCTTTCTTATTTCTATGGTTCATAATTGTATAGCCAAGAAAAAACAACACGCAAAACACATGAAATACAATGCTAGTGATTATTTTACTTTTTCGGAAAACTGTATTCTATATTACCAAAAATTTGTTTTGCTGCGCCAGTGTGCTGGAGCACAGAGTGCGGAACCAATCGTAGTAAGTATTTCGGTTCTCTCCGTTTAGCCAATGTACCTCTTCTTATTTGTTCGTTCGTTCGTTCGATTTGGTTTATCTGTGGTCATTTCGTTTTCCGTTGTAGCCTGGAGTTTCTTCATTAAGCGATTTTGTTTCCATTGTTTTCGTTTGGAGGTTTCCATTCATTCATGATGCTGCTGACTTTCACTCGACAGTTCAATTTTAGTTATTTTCATCTTGGATTTTAGTGACACACTTTCCATTCAGCATTTTTCACTCATTTAAAACGTTCGATCGGTTCACCTTGTTATGATTAGTCATTTCAGCTTCACATTTGTGCGAAAATCTACCGAATTACAGCCTAAAGTTTGCAACTTTTCTAACTTCCAGGGTGCCACAATCAAGACCGATGAGGAAACGGGCAAAATCATCATCGCACGAATCATGCACGGAGGAGCAGCCGATCGATCCGGGTTGATCCACGTGGGTGACGAGGTGATCGAAGTTAACAATATCAACGTGGAGGGCAAAACACCAAGCGATGTTCTGTCGATACTGGTATGTTGTTTGATGGATGTGGAAGCTGTTGATTAAATGACTAATATAATCCAAACCACTTTGCAGCAAAACTCCGAGGGAACCATCACGTTCAAGCTGGTACCGTCGGATGGAAAGCTGGACCAGAGGGAGAGCAAAGTGCGCGTGAAGGCATACTTTGACTACGAACCGGAAAACGACCCGTACATCCCGTGCAAGGAGGCGGGATTGGGATTCTACAGGGGTGACATCCTGCACATTGTGTCACAGGTATGTATTTACGTAAATGGGCGGGTATGTGAACAGTTAACAAGTTCTAAACAAAGCATTTGTGTTGTTTACACGGGTGCCTAGTGGGAGGAGTTATGTAGGCTGCATCCAAACAATTATTACAATCCTGAATTTGAAATGTATTTAAGGTAACGGTTTCAGAAGAAATTTCAACGGTCTGATACTTTTGATGATTCCATGCTTCGTTCTTGATTGTTTTTTTTTTTTTTTTAGTAAATGTTTGATGTATTGGTTGGCATAGAAAGCTCACAATTAGTAGCTGTGGAAGTGCATCTAGAACACTAAGTGAGAGCTGGCAAGACGATCGCTACAGAAAAGTTAAAGCCTCCGATCATAAGAAAAAGAAGAATATATTTTCTGTAGATTTCGGAAAACAAAAAAATCAAATAGTAGAATTTCTAAAATATAAAAACCTTCCAAATAATGAAGACACTTCTAGCAACAATCAATACGAAACTAACGATTTTAAATTGGCTCACTACTTGACTAGCCTATTGGTCCCAAGCAAATCGACTAACGTACCCCATTCTAGTATAGACGAGTGCACGGATGGTTTGAGTTCACTCACTCGACAAAAAGTGACACAACAGCGGGGCCCTGTTTACTAAAAATAAACACATGAATAATACTCACGTAACATTTGAAACCGGCCTATCAACTTTCGTACACCAAACTTGTTAAGCCTTTTTCGCGCGAACCGAATACGCCCACGCAAACTAACAACACCATCGGGTAGGGGAAATTATCCCCTTCCCGATAGTGCTCTTGGTTTGCGTGGATGAACTTCGGTTCTCGTGGAAAGGACCTAGCAAATTATTTACAAAAGTTGATAGGCCCTTTTCAAATGTTACGCGAGCATTATTCATGTGTTCATTTTTAGTAAACAGGGCCCCGCTGTAGTGTCAATTTTTTTTTCAGTAGATGAACAAAAGTTCACCCATGCACTCGTATATAAATTTCAGTACTACACTATGTTTGTTTTGATTCGCTATGAAATTTTGACAGATAAAATGAGGGGTTAGTGGATTTTCCTATGTTTCGAGGGGTGAATCGACTAGCTTGGGACCGAAGAGAGTACCAGAGCTGAGCCAAAAAGTTGAGCTCGTTTCTTCGGGACCTTCTGGTCTTAAAGTTACCTCTATGCTTCTAGATCTCGGTTTAAAGAATTCGTGGTTTTTGACATAGTTAAAGGTTGCGTCCAAACAAAGCACGACCGCATTGTTGGCGTAGAACAGCGAGATTTTTTTTTCCTTGATTTTTTTTCCGTCGATCTTGTTTTCCGTGCTGAGCACCAATGCTACCGACCAGTGCTGAGTTGCATCACGGTACTGACAGATTTTAGATTGACAAAAGAGACTCATACGGTTAACAATCAAAACAACTGACAACTCGTTCTCCGTAAAACTTATCACCAGTATGACACAACAACCGTGAGATATCGTTATTTTGCTTTTCTCACTCATTCGCTATATCACTAACATGTGTCAAGTGGTACCATCAGATCACCGAGGAAAAATAAACAGTCATATAAATTGACCGTCATCTCATTTCGAGCATAAATACGGTTATGACGGTCATTCCTCTCCCAAAATCACGGATATATTTCGCTCCCTAGTAAAGATATCGTTAGAAAATGGCAAGCACCCCATCCCTCTTTAATGCTTACACAATTCAAGACCAACAATTGAAAAGGCCTCAACTTCATTTTGTGAACAAGCCATTTTACGCGAAACGAAACCTACATTTGCAAACCTAAAACACAAACGGGTAGAGGAGAATTTGTTTACAAAATAGAGTTGAGGTCTTTTCAATTGTTGGTCTTGAATTATTGCACGGTCAATTATAAATATTCATTTTCTTCACTTGAGGATTCAACAATCAAAGCAACCATTGGTATCCATCAACGAAATCTTCGCTAAAATTAATAGCGAATTCGTTTATTATTCAGTTCCAACCTGGATCGGGTATCAAGATTGGATCTGCTTGTTTTCTGACAAACGTCAGTTTGCTCGTTTGCTTTTAAAACCCAGCTCAGGTTGAGGTTCGCACTGACAAAAAGATTGGGTTCGCACTGATTTTGTCGAAGGTTCAGCTGTTGGTTCCATGATGGTTCTTGCAATTTTTCGGAGCAATTCAAAAATTTAAGATTTTTCGCTTCACTTTTCGCACGAAACGTAACCACGTTGAACAGATATTTGTTTTGACAATAAAATTCTCGTGAGATTGTCAATTGTGAGTTGTGTCAGTTTTGAGATTTATTAACCATCAAAGTGGAAGTGGCTTTAATTTTCAAGTTAAGAAACGGATATTTATCTACATTGTACAGCACCCACATATATATTTGTTACAAGGAAAATTAAAATCCAACGTTTTCTTCAAATTAATGTTTCGTATGTTCTGAACTTACCAATTTTTGGCAAGAACAGGAGAATGAGGGATCATTATTTTTACTTCCCACTTATAAATGCCCAACAGAGATAATCAGTGATTGAATGATTTTGCTACTCTCTCCTTGTCATTTAATCTAACTGTCATGGATGGCTTTTATGAAGACGGTCTAGTGAGGTAGAGGTGTTTCCAAGTGATATGCTAGTAGACCGTCATTTTTGAGATGTGACGGTTATGCGAGAATGACCGTCAAGGTACAATAACCGTTATGATAATGCACAGCACTGCTACCGACGCCAGGGAGGCAGCTTCCACACCTGGAACCTACATATCGACCCATCAACTCATGAACCGGGGATCAACGGCTTTATTTTCCTTCCGAAGGAAGGCGCCCAAGCAGCATTGCATGTTTTATCGTGGTTTTATAGCATTCTACAAGTCTAAATCATGGTCTACAGAGCCCTCATAAAACCCAAATTCTTACTTGGGCGTGATCAGAGATGTTATACCTCAGAACATCCTGGCGGCGCCGACTGGGATTAAACCCAGGCCTGCTGGGGTGAGAGGTTATCACGCTTACCACTACACAACCAGCGCCGCAACTACGAGATGCAGCTTTTTTCACTAATATATTAATAACAAAATAAATCGTTTAGATAGGGTTAACTACCCCATTTCCGGCCTATTAAGCATAACCCACACTTAGTCTTTCTTAATCTAGTTCAGTTTAGCACCAAACGGAATGTTATTATTACTGATGGCTTCAAAATTTATTTGCCTTTCCGTACGTACCATAAGATTTGAAAACGAGAAACCAATCGTTGAGATATTGTCAAAAGTCCAACACTGCTTCTGGACGCCAAACTCGGCCTACGGATTTTAAACTCGCCCTAACGCATTGAAACGCAATTGAAACGCCAATGAATTCACTTCGGCCTATCGGATGAAGATAAAAATTCATTCGGTCGGAGCGCTTCTTTTGTTTTTGGGAATAATGCAAACCATCATACCTCGCGTTCTCATTGACTTCGTTCGGTAGCTTATTAACTAAAGGGTGTCCACGATGAAATTGCCACACTATGAAATTGCTCTAACTTTTTAACCGTTGGGTAGAATTTAATGAAAATTTGGGTGGATTTAGTTCATAGTGCATTATTTACATCCTGCAAGTTTTAAAGTCCTGTGATCAAAACTCGCGGAAATGGAGTCGAAAGAACAGCTCGTGCGTGATAAAATCTTGCGCATTCATCACGAGAACAAGGATCTCTCGCATCGTTCCATCGCTAAAGCGTTGGGAATCGCGAATTCCACGGTGTCGCGAGTGATTAAGCGGTTCGAGGAACGGTTGACCACCGATCGGAAGCCCAGAAGTGAAGGAAAAAGTATTCCGTACAACACCAAAAATCAAGGTTGCAAATACTCATTTCTGCTAAAATAATGTTTTTCGGAATAATAAAACCAAAAGATGGTATGATGGTATGTTTTACTTGTAACTTACAAGAAGAGGCTACAAAGTATGCGTTTGAAATATAAAACCTGTAAATTTTGCTTTCTATGAGTCACAATCAGCGATTTTCTGATCGCTGAGTGAGTGAGTGAGTGAGTTAGTGAGTTTGTGAAAAATCGCTGATTGTGACTCTCATGAAGTGAAATAAGCAGGTTTAATATGTCAAACACATTATTTGCAACCTCCTCTTGTATCCTACCAATTCAAAATATGATCATGACATCTAATTATTTCATAATTTAAAAAAACATTGTTTTATCTGAAATGAGTATTTGCAACCTTGCCAAAAATCACAACCGCGTAGTTGGGGCCTTCAACCGAAATCCGAACGCCTCCGTTAGGGATGTGGCTAAGAAGCTGCACCTAAGCCGAAGTTTTGTCCAGAAGGCCAAAACTAAGGCTGGGCTTCGAACGTTCAAGGTACAAAAGGCCCCTAATCGCGACGAGAAGCAGAACAAGTCCGCCAAAACCCGTGCCAGGAAGTTGTACCTCAACATGCTGACGAAAGTTGAATGCTGCATCATGGACGACGAAACATATGTGAAGGCCGACTTCAAACAGATCCCCGGCAACCTGTTTTTCACGGCCAAGGATAAGTTCAGCGTTCCGGAGCATGTCCGCACTCAGGAGATGTCCAAATTTGCGAAGAAATTCCTGGTTTGGCAAGCCATCTGCACGTGCGGGAATCAGAGTGCACCTTTCGTGACCCAGGACACGATGAACGGACAGGTGTACATAAAAGAGTGCCTCCAGAAGCGGCTGCTTCCTCTCCTGAAGGTCCACAACGTCCCAACAATCTTCTGGCCGGATTTGGCCTCATGCCACTACTCCAAGGACGTGCTGAAGTGGTATGCGGACAATAAGGTCAATTTCGTGCCGAAAATGTTCAACCCTCCCAACACTCCGGAGCTCCGCCCCATCGAGAAGTACTGGGCGATTATGAAACAGCACCTTCTTAAACGACCTAAGGTAGTGAAGACAGTCGAGGAACTGAAGAAAGTATGGGTTTACATGCAAAAAACGGTTGATTCACAGGTTGTGCAGAATCTTATGGCCGGGGTTAAGGCCAAGGTGCGGGCATTTG